GACATCTCCAACTTTACAGGATTGTCTCTCGCGAAGTTTGCATGGGGGCCTTGCGCTGCTGTCTTCAGTTTTCACCGGTGGTTTTGCCCAAGCTTTAACATACGAAGAGGCGTTGCAGAAGTCCTCAGGGTCCTTCGGTTCTCAATTTGAATCAAGTGGGGCTCTTGATAGTGTTGTTGGTTTTGTAACGGAAAACCCTGCAATTATAGCCGGAGGTGCTGCTATTTTGGCAGTTCCTATTGTTCTGTCTCAGGTGTTTGGCAAGTCTAAGCCATGGGGCGTGGAGTCTGCAAAGAGTGCTTATGCAAAGTTGGGGGAGGATGCCGGTGCTCAGCTGCTTGATATAAGAGGGCCTAAGGAACTTAGGAAAGTCGGTAGTCCTGATGTCAGGGGTTTGGGAAAGAAGCCGGTATCGATTGTTTACAAGGGTCAAGATAAGCCAGGGTTCTTGAAGAAGATATCTTTGAGGTTCAAGGAACCAGAAAATACTACGTTATTTATTCTAGACAAGTAAGCTTTTAGACCCTTATATTTTTATTTTGATCATTTGAGTCTGTGACTATGTTACTAACATAGGATTTAGGAAAACTGGAGAGAACAGAATTGTAGGTAGAAAGACTTTCAAACTTATACGACCATACATATCTGATAATTAATTTAAATAATATAAAGGAAATCTGGAACTCTTCAAAACTGAGGTTTAGGATCAGGAAAAACAAGAATTTGAAGGAATTGGCGAGATTAAGGATGGTACTTATGCCAACAAAAGATTGTTTATAAACTTTGTACCAATAATCTGAAATTTCTTTGTGAAGTGAAGGACTCTCCAAAATATAACACGAATCAAGTTTTATGTTATTGGCAGCAGTGTGTTGTTCAAAAGGGCTGTGTCCAATTGGAGAACTTTTCCTTCATGATTATGCCTACAGCATATCAATTAGTTAATCATGTAAATATGATTATATTCATCATCTAGTTCATAAAAGTTAAGAATATGAGAAATGGAAGATATATAGTGTTAGTTACAGATACTTTGAAGTTTAAATTGTAGTTTTGGACACAAAGAAGCAGGCAAATTGACAGCCATGAGTGTGTTTCCAAATAAATGTTATCTTAGTTTCAAAATGTCCTTCTACTTAGTTACATGTCATGTTGACTGAATTCCTAGATAATGTATGGATAAGATTTGAACACAACTTTCACCAGCAGAGTAAGGCACTGGGTAGCGTATCCATGGAGTATGGTTGGCTGATTTGCTATTTTGCTTGGGTGTAGAGCAGAACAGAAGAGCAGAATTAAATTTATTGTTTTTATGTAGAAAAATAATGAAACTATAATATCTAATGCATTCTGTCAAATGTTTTTGAATTTTTATTGAAAGCCAGATTCGATGGGAACTCTGAACTGGTCGCTGAGTTGGTTGCTGTAAATGGATTCAAAGCGGCCTATGCAATAAAAAGTGGTGCGGAAGGACCCCGAGGATGGATGGTATTTGCTAATTTGCTTTCCTGTTATTTCATTTTCCATCCAGATGTGATTTGGTATTAATGGGCTTAGCAATGAAGACCTTTGAGATGGATTACAATTTTTGCAGAACAGTGGTCTTCCCTGGACACGACCAAAGAAAGCACTAAGTCTTGACTTCATTGGGGCAGTTGGAGTATGTATCCATCTTCCATCTTCTGTTGTGCATTTTAAAGATTTTTACCTTCTTACACCGTGTATCCATTGTTTCGTTTTTTTGGCTGCTGCATTTGAATATAAAGGGGACTGAATGTAGGATATTTTACTAGAGGCTCAGTATGGCTGATTTCTGCCTTCAGTTTGTTGGATATATTTGCAGCATTTTTATAGTTTTAGCATAGATATCTTCTTTGCAGTAATAATTGAGATTAATATGTAGGAAGGATCTGAGGCCCTGCCTGTTATCCTTGGTATTGCTGCAGCTGCTGGATTAGGTTTATTAGCATTCACTGAGGTAAGGTGTTTGGACCATTTACCTGTTAATTTTATTTCTACTTTGTCATTCTTCAGTTTTGGTTTTTGGTTATTTATTTATTCTTTCAAAATATCGTGATGGGTGATTCAAAAACCATGCTTTCTTTGTATCATCTCAGATAGAAACGATTCTCCAACTTCTTGGGTCAGCTGCGATTGTTCAGTTAGTGAGCCAGAAACTCCTATTCGCGGAGGCTAGTCCCATACCTCTAATTATATTTTCATGAATTTGTTTTGCACAATGTCCTCTTTGTTCATTTGACAAATTTTTGCTTGTTTCCATATGCGTAAAACACATTGTTTGGGTTGTTATTTCTACACTCCTTTTCTAACTATTTTCTAACTATGGCCTTTTAAACTACTTTATTGCATGTGCTGTCACATTGAGTTATAGTAAAGCTGTAGCTGCTTTGAAGTTAATCCTAACCTCATGTCTGTAACAGGATCGAAAGCAAACTCTTAAACAAGTTGATGAATTCTTGAACACCAAAGTTGCCCCCAAGGAGCTTGTCTATGACCTTAAGGTATATATACAGACTCAATGTTCACATTGGTTATTATTTCTACACCATCTTTTTCTGGTAAGCAAGATTGATATTCTTTAAAAAAAATATTTATATACTTGCATTAGAACAAAAACTTATATTTCATGGTACATTGCAATACAGTGCAAAACTGTCTAACAAGTTTTGTTCTTTTTCCTCACACTGCTGATATTTCTAAACAAATTAAACTGTTGCTTATTTCTCATGTTCATATTGTGTCTGCATTTGTTTGAATCTGTGAAACTCAGCAAATTGGGCAGGCCCTATTACCCTCACTTGTGACTAGCAAGCCTCTTCCAGCACCTGCAGAGGTAGACCCAGAGCCTACAACTGTACAGGAAGCCAAGCCAGCTCAGTTCACAGCACAAATTAATTCAATACCCAGCACAGAAGCCAAGGCGGAACCAAGTTTTGGATTTCCCAGACCTCTTTCACCATATCCATATGTAATTATTCCTTAATAGTTGCCCATTTTCTTCCTCTCTTGTACTGTTTAAGCACTATACAGATGCTTTCCTTTCTCATTTTTCTCTTCCTTACTGGCTGCAGTACCCAGACTTAAAGCCTCCAACATCTCCTACTCCATCACAGCCATAGTTCCACTGAACTCCGGCTTGGATTGTCGATCTCTTGTTTCTTCTACAGACAACTGATCGGTCGGCAACAATTATAAAGCTATCTAGTGAATTGTGCAACCTAAGATCTTAAATGAAGTCTTCCAGGTTGCAAGACTACTGGGTTGAGAAACTGGTAAGAAGAAAGGGAGAAAACAAACGAAACTGCCATGAATGGATGATAATATGGTCCAAACCATCCTTTTGAATCTTTTATGCTGCTTAATTCACCCCTCTGTGAGTTTTAGTTATCTTCTTGTTGACATTGCTGTTTTATTCACCTTTTTGTGGAACTATTTCTCTGTAGATGCCATGGAACTATTCACCTTTAAGTCTATCCATAAATAAAGTGGGATCATTGTATA